TCTCCTATATTCATTTGGCTGCAAATCAAGTCTTCGAATTTTATGCATAAAGATAGGGTATCTTCTGGTTTTGATAGCATCGAATCTACCCGTTTATTAATGCTCCTTATGGAGTATACAGCACAAATTTTATAAGTCCTATATGGTGTCCTATTAATGGCTCAGAGGAATGTGCGATTTTTCTAGAATGAATACCCTAATCGCAAATGCAACAGGAAATCGCACTCAAAATCATTCGGGAATTGAAAAAAAAACTTGTTAAGACCTGAATTTGTCCGATTTTCGAGCATTTGATTCAAACGACACGCGGTCTGCCGCCAAATAAACACAAGAAAGCGTATTTTTGTGCGCGTTTTCTGTAAAATCTATTTTGGATTAGTAGGGGTATCGCAAAGCAGTGGAGAAAATCATGCCACTTTAGCGGTCCTTTTATACGGACTGCGGTATTAGCAGGTAGCCGAAAAGAAATGCATTCAAAAGCGGGAATCCTGGCTCGACTGGGATTATGCTGCACGGTAGGCAGTAGCATAACCGAAAACATATTTTAAGATTTCGGTCAACATTTCATGAAACCGGCCAGCCTTCGAAAATACCTATGGACCCGACGTGATCTCTCCGTCGCCACTAATATTCGCGTGTACCGTGCATCTGTCCGGTCTGTCTCCTCTACGGTTGTGGATGCTGGGCTTTACGCGTGGAGGATGAGCGAAAACTGGAGTTATTTGACCACCACTGCTTGAGGACCATCCTTCAAGTGAAGTACACCGAATTCTTTTCAAATGAGACAGTCCGCGCTCTCTGTGACAACATCGCAAGGATAACTCAGGCCATCCAAGAAAGACGACGGAGGTGGTTCGGACATGTTCTTCGTTGTCCACCTCAAGAGCTCAGTGTTACTGCTCTCGATCCGGCACCGTTGTTCCATTAGAGGCGTCGAAGTGGAGGGGTCAGTTCAAAACCTGACTCGACACAGTTCGTCAAGACATGAAGGTGGTTCTTGGACCTTCGGTATTCGGTCTCCGTCGTTAACGAAGGGAATGACTTGAGCCGTCCAGGTCTGCTGCCGTGGGTCGTCACGCATGGAGAGGTACATTTCGTGACACCATCGAGGCTGGCTAGATTAGACATGATCGCAGTCGCATCAAGTACAAGTAAGTAAGTCAACCGGCCACTGACTGTAACCGATCCATGCTCCGAACAGTAACAGAGTGTTGGCACAGTGGCTGACTAGACTGAATCCGCGCCTACTTGTGCCGCACACACTGTCACTGCTTCCAATCTAGGCTGAAATGCAAAACGTAAGCGTCTCGCAGCAGAGTGTTCGTTTATAAAATTGACAATTAGGAAAGCTACTCATGTTTGCTGAGTAGTTTTACCGTCAGCTGACCATTGTTTTGCTCAAGCCGGCAAAGAATGAAAGATAAGAAGAATAACCAGTTACCGACATGGGCGGAACCATCCCACAAAGTAAGGTTGAACAAATTACGCGAAGTCACCAATCCTATCGTCCAGTCCAAGACTGCCCCTCCCATCGGCTTTTCTCAACTGCCCCTGTTGCCGTTCAGCTCGCGGAAACCTGCAGCTCTTTCCTTCCACTCCCATACTACTGCTGTCGCTACTGTTGCGACGACTACGTGCTAATCTGCTCAATGATCTGCCATGTCCTCGAAGTTCGCCTGGGCCACGGGGGTTGGCAGGTTCACCAAAAAGATCTTCCGCCTGTCACCGTATTCAGGTGCACCGCCAGTTCTTGTCTCTGTCAGCATTGTTAAGGCGTTGACTAAATCTTACGCGCCAATGTAGTCGCGCGGTTAAACGCCAGAATTGGGGCAATCTCGTCTGACATTATTATTCCCTCTCCAGGTATCCCGGATCCCTTTACGGCGGCTGTCGCGGCTGCGGTGAGTGGAAGTTCAGTTGCACAGGCAGAGTACTATCAAGCCTACCAACAATACTACCAGCAGTACTACGCTGCTCAGTACGCCCAATACTACCCCAAGTCTTCCACTGAGGAAGGCGCCGCGGGCTCTGGTACTGCTGCTGCTGCTGGAGCCATCCCTACTGCCGCCGGGAATACGGACGCCTCCAGCGCGGCCTACTACGGCTACGGCTTCCAGACGATACCCAACACGGAGGAGGCCTCCCAGCAGGAATTCGCGCCGGGTGAGTTTTTACAGATTGTGCATAAGTGGTCCTGCCACCCTTTGCGTGCTTTTTTTTTACTAATTCTCCCTTTAGGTTCCCTTAGGAGGTCATTAGTGGAGACCAGATAGGAAATAAAGCCGATCCGGAGTTTTACGAATAGCAGTTGCTGATAGTGGTGAAGGAGTGCGAGGTCTTGTCTGTACACATCAACTACTTTCTCATCACTGGAAATGTGTTCCACAAGGTGCACTCAGAACCGGCGACTTACTCGTGAATTAGCTTACGCAGCATCCACCACACTCCTCTTGCTTCAATGGCAAGACAGTGTCAAGAAGACCGGATATGGGCGTGGTCACAGTGGTTAGAAAAGCTAAACAACCCGTGTACGCGTACCACGCACACGACCTGGTCCACGCAACATGTGTCAGGCTTCTGTAGGGGTGGCTGTGTACATCCGTTACACCACATCGTAGTCCGCGTACGCGGACTACGCGCGCGACGCCGCAAACATGTAGCGGCTGTTTACATCTGCCCCAACACACCGTAGCCCGTGTACGAGTGCTACACGCGCGACGCCGCACAGATGTAGCGGCTGTTTACATCTGCCACGCATCTGCTAGGCTACATGTTTCATAAGCGAGGTAGACGAGGGCAGACGGATGTGTTCGGATGAGACCGGCAGTTCATGTTGTCATAGACACAACCTAAGAGGCCATCTCTCGTTTGCGCCCAAAATGCCCCCCTAAAGTCGCCGCATTGCTGTCGGTAGGGTTAAAGCACTCGCCGGTCGCTTAGCTTGCTTATGAAGCCTGACAAGTGCTCTCATCGAATTGGATGTTAGCTCCTATTGGTGCAGGTCAAATGTACAGTAATATCACAGTTTAAAAACCATATGATCGTGTAAAACCGTCGATTGTGATACGTTTGAGCGACCCTAACTGTCGAAATGCATAAGATGTTATTTCTGATTTGCGCCGACCCTTATCTCGCAATCCCATCCTTCCGGATTGCGGATTTTCCACTTTTTCTAGGTATACTGTGGGTCAAGTAATGCCATAAATATATTACTGAAGTGATGTCAATAGCGTCACTGTCGGTCTTTTTATCGCTTTCGCCCTGCTAAATGTGTTGTTTGTTTGTCGCACCCATTCGACCCGCAGATCCCAATTCTTTGTCGGCTTCCTTCGATCGACCGAGACATGTAGAAGACATCGACGAGTGTTTCCTCTTTTTGGAGTCCTCCAGATGGAATTTTTCGGATCCCTCGCTTGGACTTTTGGTCCCTGTGCATCCTTGAAGCACAGCACGTTTGTTAAATAAAAAAACTTTTATTCGCCTCTTTACTTAATCCTTAGATGGGGGTCGCCGTAACCTTACCTCTCCCGAAACTACCTACAGCATCGAGTCAATTTAGATTCTGATCCATGTAAAATGACTTATTTGAATACGAAGAGAGACGGCAAGTTTTGCTGTATTACAAGTTTATGGAGCTCTTTAAAGACTTATCGTTCCCCAAAGGATCTGTTTGTCTTCTCGTAAAACTTAAAATGAGCGACAACTTTACTTAATTTAGTACCAATGGGAGGGTTTCGACCTTACTGCTACTTTAAATTTGCTTCCCAAAACATACATTACTATGAGTTAGCTCTCAGGTTAGGGACGACGCTGCTCGCCTGTGTTTGCGCTACGTTGGTACTACGCTATTTTTCCAGCAAAGTGCCTGAACTCGTCGCATTTTACATTACTCCACCTTTCTGAGAATCAGGCTCCTCCATCATCTCAGTGCGGCAAACCGTTGAACCGCTGCACGCGTCGCTTCATCGCAAAGCAATCCAGACACGCTGGGGTCGCCTTGCACTACGATAATAGCCGTCTCACTTTGCACAAACAGGGCTGTTTCAGGCACCTATTAAGACGGGCTGAAACTCCATGTCTTTAAAAAGGTAACTTGTGGATTTACCCTTCTACATCAATACATGAGAAGGTCGGGGGTGAACCGACCCAGACTAACTATTAGAACTTAAGCGAATTAACCGAAGCACTACTAAAGGCTGCGCCATCTTGACAAACCATTCGTCATGGAAGTAAACCACTGCGGACCGATAGCGCACAATATCACCTGTCGAGTGTGAAAGCATCTGTGATCTAGGCACGCGGGTCAGCACGAAGTTGTCGTCAAAACCGCGGTAAGTTGTCAAGCCAGACTTGGCGAGAATGATAGGCCAGATGGTCTGCGGGAATGGATTGCCAGATGGTCGTAGAACATTGCGCGTTTATGTAGTGACCACAGGACAAAGGACATACCGGTTCGCAAAGTCATCGCCTCTGAAACTGGCTAGACCAGCAGTCTAGGTGCAATAAAAGTACCCATCCCAATTAGCCATACGCATATTGGACACAGGCACACACTTTTCCGGGAGAGGAGGAAGATTCGCATCAAAGAAAGGTCGTGAATGTCTTGAACGAATCATGCACCGATAGGCCCATTGACTTGGGTGCTGTCAAAATCCTGAAGGACAAGTAGGGGAGAATGCGACTAATCAGAGCCGAGTTGTGCGATTAAAAGGGTGCACATTTGGTCGGAAGCTAGACAAGCGTATAATCTGGTGTAAGGCACCGTTAAAAGTCACCCGATTTTGAACGGTTACCAAAAGTTTAGATAGAAACTGGTGAGCCAGTACCGCAAAGTTGAAGGTTAACATTTTACTCTCCTAAAAACATGACATACTTCAGACATATGTGAATGGAGATAAGTGTGTACAAGATTATAAATGCTAGTTATGCAGAAAAATAAACACGGCCGTCGGATATTTCAGCTAGCTGACAGCTTCGATCTCGAGAGACTGGGCGCGGAGAGTCTTGAAACACTCAAGGCTGCAGAGAGGTTTACCGGTTTTTGGACATGCATAGCGTCGAGGACGAATACAGCACTGTGCACACAAAGTACGGACAGGTTCTGGAGGTGCTACATGGTGAGGAAAGGAGAGGGAGAGTTCGACGGCGGGAGGCAACGCCAGCACCGTAGTATGAGGAGAAAATCGCTCTGAGGAGATAAGGCGAATGTAGCCGACGGGTGGGTCAAGGGTGGCGGAGGGATGGAGGGCATTCTTGGGTTGACCACCGCCAACGCCGCCTCCATTGGCACCAGTGCTGTTGGAGTCGGGGAATTGCACAGAATCTTCACTGTCTGATGAGGCTGCCGTACAAGCTGGGACAGGGGCGTCTGTTGTCTTTCGCCTTCGGCCACGTCCGCGGCCCTTCCCTGGGACTACAGTGTAGTTTGTATTGACCTGGACACCAAAAGTAAAAAATGATGTGAGCCCCTGACAACAGAAAGTGAACCAATGACGATAATAAAGTCAAAGCGTGGGTTCGCTTATGAGGGTCAGTAAGCAACACCGGAAGCAGTTACTTCCGTAATTTGATGTTTAGGGGTCATGGCCGATAAGTGGGAAGATTCAAACAGCAACGGCACCGAATGCTGTCGGTTATCCACTCAGTGAGGCGTTTTTGTGGCAAAGCTACCGTTACCTGTCAGTAAAAATGTGCCCGTACGCCAAAACCGCTCTAGGGGCAAGGCTATCACCACTTAGGTCGAGTAAAACTTGGCCTAATAAAAAACTGGCGATTAAAGGCTTAACCATGTAGCACAAGGCCAAGACAAGAAGAGCCTGGGTATAAGACAAAATGCCTAATAGTGGTTAAACTTGCACACGCTCTAAAAGTGCGCAACCGAAATTGGTAAGATGTTAAGATGTAAGAGATGTAACATTAGCGGTGCATTAAGCGCCTAAATAATGATGCACATGAGCGCTAACGTGGCTTCTCATAGCTGAGCACATCCTTATCGGTCGGAAAAAAGGTGCCCTACGTAGCATATGGAACGGTCTTAAGGCCGGTGTCTTGTAGATTTAGCCGCCAGCTGGTGTACGTTAGTCGGTGGGAGTTGACCAGACGGTACAGATAACGAATGTTTCTGGATGAGACAAAGCGTAAAAACATAACAGAGCATGTACCCTTAATAACTTTTCGACTGTCTGCATTTTCTCCATCTCTGCCTTGTGCTTAGCGGACTCCCGTCTGCGAACAATGCGCCGGAGTCTGGCTTCCAGTTGAGCCGCTGTTGGTTGATTTGTGGTTTCAGATGGTGTACGTGTCACATCTTCAAGGCTCCAGAGAGAGCTCTGTGAGTTTTGATAGCCCAATCGGGTTCGGACAAGGCCCGACGAGGTCGCCTGATGATTTTGCCGTACAATATTCACTTCTTCGTCTTGATCTTCCTCATCTTCGTCCTCGCACTCGTCTTCATAACGCGAAGGCGGACGACGGCGCAGTCGAGTTGGCCGAAGACTGCGCTCAGTAGCCGGCGACTGATCAGGTTTAGCTAGGCTTTTGGAAGGATGTGTGCCAGCTACAGTGCTGTTCAACTTTGCATTCTCGGTAACTTGTTTTCCTGACCTGTCAAAATCTGTTTCAACAGACTCCTGAAAGGCCCAAAATAAAGAAAGCAGACCTCAACCTGACATGTAAAGTTAAAGAAGGCATTAAGAAGGATAAGCCTGACTTAAAAGTGCAAAATGAAAGTTTGCCTTAAGCAAATAATTAAGTCATAAACTTCACAGTGACAAAACCAACCTCGTCCGAGTAATCATCTATTTCTAGGAAGCGTGACTCGAAGTCGTCAGTTGCTGGTTCTGTTGCATCTGAGTCTAAAATCTAGTAATGAGAGCAAATCTATTATAACCTGACATAACGACGACCCCAGACTCAAGGTCAGATCTTGCTTGTTTAACTTCCGCACCCAATGGTAATGCGATTACAAACAAAATTGTGCATTTCGTATGAGGTTTACAAGTGGTCACAAGCCCGTAAAACATTACTCTTACGTGTTTGTATAACATTTTTGACAGAATGTGAGAAGAATGTTCGACTAACGTGGCGAAACGTGCAATGAACAATCAGACCTGGACGCGAGTATCAAGTGCCCTATTCATATGCCTGTTCAGTGGTTGCCCAATGATGTCAAATGAGCTGAGGCTTCCATTGCAATATTGCTTTTTGCGGAAAAAGTCTTTCATTGCACATTTTTCGCCGTGACGCAACCTCCTACTCAACTGTTCGAGGCCAAATATAATCTATGCATTACGTTAAGAACAGAAATGATTGTCAGGAGGGCGTTTCTAGTGTTTTGTTTCTACCAGTAGCCAAGATAAGTTACTTTTTTTTAGAATTCATGGACGATATAACTCCGAATGACTAAGTATGCGTCGGTCAGGCGGAGTCCGCAAATTCTTTGGATTAGGTGATTCCAGGCTTCTTGAACACCTACCGTTGACTAACTAAAGTGCTAATTTTACTTATTTTACATACGCTTGAAGGCCCTGACCGCCTGATACGCACTGCGGTGGTTTTACAATGAGAAAGAAGGCTTATACGGGTTTGGGTCATATACAGATTGTAAGAGCTAATTGAAGAAGTGAACCCGAATGTCATGCGCCATATATCAACAAAATAATAAGACGACTGAATAGTAAAATATTATAAAAACAGGAGTGGCTTATAACAGAATTTAAGGTAATTGAAAGAAAGGTATAAATAATCAGGCTGGTTTAAAATGAACTCAGTGATGGAGAGTAAAAATATCAGCTAGCTGCGGGAGTGAGCAATGGTTTGCAAAAAAGATGGCAACCACTACTCTGCGGTTAGTATCATGTGCTTAAAATGTCGACTTGGACTTGATGTACGGAGTCTCAAATGCGTGAGACCGTTTTTCAACTCGATTACACGTGTGTACTGTTGCTTTTTATGTGTACTGTTAAATGGGTTATTGTTACGCTATGACTTTCCTTTGTAGTGCAAAATGTCCGAAGAGGGGTAGATGCTAACACTCATAACTAAGACTCATCTGGAGAATTACTGAGGAAAAACTGACCCAAGAGACATTGGCCAGTCAAGTCCTATATAAAGGTGACAACTGCATCTGACAGCACAATATCCCAACATAGACAAAGGTCGGCTCCAAAAACGGTGCCTAACACCAATATTTGCAGAGAAGAGCGAAGATGACCATAGCATGCCCGATTATGATCCAGAAAGAAGCACTGTAGGAGGTTTTAATGAGAACCTAACCGAACAACAACAAAAGCCGGCTAAATCTATAGGAGTGTGTCAAAACTTGGACAGAAAAGTCACAAAAGGGTCACATGCTAGGCATGAAAACTGCAGGTAGACAGCAGGCAAAGTGTGCGATAAACACATAAGCCAGCATAAATGGTAAGTCCCAGGAGATACGGTGGGGCACACGGCATGCGAAAAAGGCGTCCAGGAAGAACTTAGAAGTTTTGTCTCGCTTTCGAGACATGAAATTTCGCTTGTTACGAGCAGGTTACGTGGTGTCTATGACCGAACACGCACAGTATGCACTTCTTCTACGCTAAAGTAACCGTATTCATAAAGGGGAATGAGGTAGTGAAGTTAACAATGCATAGTCAACAAATATTCTGGCAGGTTCCAGAATTAAGACGCTAAAGAAGTTGCCGGATTCGTATTAATAATCTGAACGGTATTTTCAGACTTCTGAGCAGTTTTGTGGAGTTATTTTTATCTCAATCCATAAATTAGCCTAATTGGAGTATTCGGATGATGGAGAATATACAATTCGAATGGTGATATGTTGTTATTTGTAGGGGGTAACTAATCCGTGACCGGAACACAGGAATTAATATCAGATGTTGCTGTTAGTTCAGAATTATTAAATTATTCAATTCCAAGGCCCATGGATCTGTAAACCATGTCCGAATTTCGGCATGCATCACTTCCATCTGCTTACCTTAAGAATGCAGTTTGAATCTGAAATTTTCAAACCACCATGGGACGCCGATTATATTCGTGTTTTAATCGGGGCGTGGACTTCTAACAAACAGGTTGCGAGTTCGAGCCTTGGGTGTTCCACACTTCGGAGTTGGGCATGACTGGATGACGACGCCTAATAAGTCAGAAATGGCCGTTCCAATCCTCCTTGTCTTTGTCGTTAATAACATTCTGCCTATATCATGCGCCGCTGTGTGGCTGCTGGTTGGGCTCGAGAAAGAGTCCATAAGGCACAACGCAACGAGTGAGTTCCGTAAGAACGATCGGTGAGCGCCCACTATCATTGTATATTCCCGATCGAAAACCGACAGGGCAACGGGCTCGAAGCCCAGCGATTAGAGGCGTGGACTTCTAACTAACAGGTTGCGAGTTCGAGCCTCGGGTGTTCCACACTTCGGGGTTGGGCACGACTGGCTGATGACGGCTAATAAGCCTGAAATAGCCGTTCCAGTCTCCCTTGTCTTTGTCGGTAATAACATATTGCCTATGTTCTCTAGTAAATGAACAAAAGGAGCGGCAGTTTCGTGGATGAGTTTGCTCGGTCCTGCTCGAGTTAATTGTGTTTTGCCTACTTAATCGCGAGGTAGTGGTGAGATTATCATCGGCCTAGCGGTGACACATGGACACGATTGCGACATAGTACAAATCTATCTTGTAGATTCGGTTCTTTCTAATGCTGTGAAGTCGGTAAACATCAGACGAAGCAGAAGATTGTCAGTCAGCTTGTAAGGACCTTTTTACTTGGCAGTTGCCCATTTCGCCTGCAGGCTACGGGTAAGTTGACTATGTTCTGGAGGATAGTAACAGTCTCAAGGACAGGCGATCCGTTTACGGAATCGTCTAATGCGAATAGCCTAATGAAGATGTCGGCCACTACTTCAGTATCACATCTAACTTATTGCATAGGTAAGTTAGAAGAGTGAATGCACATATTTGCATTCTCGGTGATGACGGTTTTTGTGTCAAAAAGAAGATGCGATCACTGGATCAAGAAGTTTATTGGCATGACGTTTCGGATTTTCACTCGAACCCATTATCAGAGACATTTATAGATAAAGGTAGTAGAAGCAAAACGACTGCTGTATTTATAGTACGTACCCTGCCAGCACCAGCCCCCTCTGGCCCCCTCATGGCCCCGCCTCATGAGGGGGCTATGGCGGGGCCAGAGGGGGCTATAAGGGGCTGGAGAGGGTGCTATGGCGGGGCAAATCCCCGATGTGGCCCCCTCTGTCCCCCTCATCGAAAAAAATGCTCAGGGGACGCCTTATAGTTGTCGTATTTTGCCCCCACCCCTGGCCATATTAGACTGTCTGACGGTAATGCGGATCCCTTAACGTCTAATTACTCGCGTTATAATCCTGATCACCCTTTTCCTAGACAGATTTTCCCCGGTATCTGTCCTATTTTATCCCTTGTTACCTTCTAGCGAACCCCATATCGCCAAATATGTTATGTTTCATTCCGGCTCCCCTTCCCAAAGCCAATTTCTCCCGCGATCGTTAGCGGACCTTCACGCGTGATTGCGAACCCCCCAACGAACCATATCGATCAGCACACTTGAACGCCATTTATAACTTAAAGAAAATTTATTGATCGATAAAGATAAAAATTTGATATGTACAAACTGTCATGTTTCCTCAAGGGACATATTTGGTAATCCGTCCATGTCGGTAGCGGGTATCTTAAATAAAATAAAGCAGAGCGTCCTATTAATTAAATTGCCAAAAACATGCTATTGAAGTATGGCATTTAAGTAGTATATTTTATTGTCTAAAGTAGTTTACAGTCGATATGCTCGAATATATGCAGGTTAAATAGATATAAAGAATTGCAAACTTACAGTGTCCTCGGAAGGAGAATGTATCAGATAATGTTCGGCTGAATTGTAGTTGACGGGAAGCTGAAAGTGGCTTATAAAGACTCAAGTCAATTAATTTACCGTGGTATTTGCCGTGGTATTGTCTCTGCGCTTTGATCGGCCGCCGTATCTGTCACGCGCACCGTGGAACCAATCAATTGCGCTCTTGCGAATTGTGTCTACGGTGCAATTTGAGAAGGTGGCGCTTTCGCGAATTGCAGCTGAACAAGTAAACGGAAAAATTAATATCCTACCAATAACAAGGCCATAAAGGGGGCTGCCGACAAAGGCCTGCTTATCTCTTGCTCCGCCCCATCAGAAACTGAGGCATAGGGGGTGGCCGAGTAGAGTGGTTAGTAGATTTCTGACAAACTCTTTCTCGTTTCGCCCGTCAGTAATCGCCAGACGTTTAATCTATAATCCATTCAAATAATAGAAGTGTCAGTATATGGGCATACCGCGTCTTGAGCGAAACCAGCATTGTTCTCAAGCTCACTGACGAATGCCTTGTAAGCCTCCTTTGTACACAGAGGCAAATTCAATGAAGGCGGCCTTGCGTCAGCTGGCTGACGTAAATCCTGAATGGCCTTTGACATTACGGCCATTGTAGCTTTAAACTGCGTTATATCAGCCCGTAGTTCGGCGATTTCCTCAGCAACATAATCAACTTTCTTTCTACTCGCATGTCATCAAGAATCAGAGCAGACCTACCGGACGCATTCAACATCGTGCTGCACCTATGGTTGCCATAGCGAAACGTGGGTAATATAATTAGCATCTCTCGCCATCACCGCTAGGGACCGTAATTGAGGGGAAGATGGTTCATCACTCCGTGTCCGAGACGTTAGTTGCCGCAATTGTATCATGCGTGTTGGATGTTGGCGCGATGAGTGCTCGGCAGTTTGGCAATTTACCTTTGCCAAAGGACTAGTTAAAATACTGCAAACGGAAGCAATACAGGCCAAACATTACTTGTAAGACTTCTTTATCTATTGGAAAAGAGTTCGCTTCCGTTCGACCCAT